CCTGCTTATGCTTCTCTACTCTCTGAACTTCCTAAAGAACGGAGTGCGGTCTCAGCCTTGTTCCCTAGCCATAGCCATCGATGGTTACAATGGTGCATATTTCTAAACTAACCAGCATGCAGTTTAAGTACTGTGGACTTATGCCAGGTTGCATGTTCAACTTTTCTTCCCCCCCTTTGTCTCTCCCAGACAGTAAATAAATGAGACTACTCCCCTCATTGTCTGACTTGCCTCGTGTAGTTATTTACGTTCACCTTAAACTGGGATAAAACACTACCACTCTGATTTGGTAGCATCATATCCTTTTTGCACAGGGATACGGTATTGCCCAGATGCTAGGTCATAAGAATCGGGACACTAAACAATGATTTGCCTGTTGAAACAGAGTATTAGAAGGTTCCATTGTCTTTCATAATGGATTCATTTTCTTTTCTTTATAGGTGTGATGCCTCCTAAAGGGCGTGGAAAAAGCAAGCTCCCTGTTCCCCTTCCCAAAGGAATGATAATGAAAGACACTGAAGGAAAAGAGTGGAGACTGGGCAATATCATTGGCCAGGGAGGATTTGGATTAATCTATTTAGGTAAATCATGAGCATTAATTACAATGTTTGTGACTTTTTGTTTGATTTTGTCCTTTAAAACAAAATGGTTAGACTAAAACGTGTTTGTAATTCTCTAAAGAAACAATGAGGTGCGCCAGAATGGCTTAACAGCACTCAGCTGAATACCCAGGTTATTGAGATGTTTTACTGAAGGAATTATATGATTCTTTCCTGGATTGTTCAGAGTACTGTTTGTATAAACTGTAGAGCACTTGGGCACATATGGGTCAGTACTTGAGTAGAAGATTGCCAAGGAACACCAATACTAAGTGCTACAGGATTTGGTGATTCAGTATGTGTCCGTAACTCTTGAGTCAGTATGGTTGGGGGTGTTGGTTGTTTAAAGTGGCATCTTTCAGCTGAGATATAAAATCAAGATACAGAGCTTTTGGTCATTAGAGAATTAATTACACATTTTATAGCAAGAGTAAAATTAACTTTGGTTCTATGTACGAATTAAAGCCATGCTTTTCCCAGCAGTTTCAGCTGAAAATGGCATTCTTCACTTGTACAAAATCGCATGGTATAGCTGCATGCTCTTCGACAGATGCAATATTCTATCCAGAGGTAGCTGCTTTTCAATGGAGAATAAGTGATTCTGATAAATAATTGTAAAACACTTTGGGATCATTTATATATAAATGTAAATTATTACTGCTGGTCTCTATAAAAGAGAAAAATCTTTTAACAAGGCAGCATGATGGACTTTCCTATCCCACACACATGCAGAAAAAACATGAGAATTAGTCTACAATGAAAATCTGTCAGGAACTGTGTTAAGCTTGTACTGAGACAGCAGTGAAGAATTAATCTTGAATAGCAACATCAGTACAACCCATCATCCCTAAAGGCAAACATGCTCTTCTTAAGTTAGATAGCGGTATGTTAACGACTGTTTCCAGACTTGGGGTATTAATATTCAAATCCTGCTGATCAAGCCACTTCAATATATTGATGGAATGTGTATTGCACATACAAAGATCTGCTGTATCTTTTTAATTTTTTCCCATTTGTCATGGAAAGTGTAATTGCACTTTTTTGGCATCTATTTTTTGTGCCACTTTTATTTTTTTTACTATTTTCTGTTTTCTGCTTTTTCTGTTTGTGCTCTAACATTTAGCTCCTACAGATGGCTTTGTCAGAAGACGACATGCTAATATGTTTGGAGATAGCCAAGCTTCCATTGTTGCATAGTTTCTAGACCACTGTAACAAGCCAAATTTTCATTAGAGCAAGCACCCTATTCCCAATGTCTTATTTCTCAGTTCCTTTATTATTTTAACTGCAACTTCTCCTGCATGAGTGGATCCTGTTTGCCCTTGCAGCACTACACTGGAAACAGAGGCACAGACGTTTTCCCACATGGAGTGAATTGCAGGATTGGAGCCTTGGTGATTGTACAAGTATTTACTTTCTATAGAGGACTTATGGGTGTGTGTTACATTCTGTTCAGCCATATGTATATATATTCATTTGTATATGCCACTGTTTTCTTGATGATAGATGCAGTAGTGTCTGTCTTGGTTTTTTTGTTTGTTTGTTTTTTGTTCCATGTGTTTGGCAATGACCTTGTTCCAGGTATGTGCTATACTGCTTAGGAACAGGTGTGACTGAACTGAATTCCTCCATATTTTTTCATGTGTTTGGTGTGGTGAAGCACAGAGCTGGATAGTGACTGTGTAAAGTTGTGACAGCCCATTTTTTTTTCTTGGAGACTGGTTCTACCTAAGGTCTGGTTTGTTAGTGCTCTAAATAAAATGGATGCCCTAAAACTCTACTGTACCATCAGCAATGGTACTGAAAAAGATTGCTATTAACCAAGATGTCTTGCTTTCTAGAATGGAATCCATTCCACTGTGTGGCTCCATAGAGGAGAGAAAGGTGATTACATTAAGAAACTAAATATCACTGCTTCTGATTTCTCTCCATACATTCAGTCCTGTATTGCTTGGCAATCATTCACGCATACAGAGACGAACTGATATGTCCTCAGGGGCGGCCTTTGACTATAGGTCGACTTGGCCGTCGCCTAGGACGCCGCCTTCAACGGCACCCAATGATGACATCACCGGGCGCATAGGGCGCCCGATGATGTCACCCCATTGACAGCCGTGCAGGTGGGGGCGCCGATCGTGTGTTCCGCCTGGGGCGCTGTACGTGCTTGATGCTTTTGCAAAAGATACCCGATTTCATTCACATTAAGACATGTTTTACTCTAGTCCTTTGTTTCAGTTAGTAAAAGAAGAAGCAGGCAAACTCTTCTCTAATCCTCCAGAATCCAATAATATTCTGTTTTAATATTGATCTTAATATACTCTTTTGGGAGATGCTTGATTAACATCTATTGCACAAGGCCAAGAAAGGGGGGGAAAAAATCTCTAGATCCCATATCTCTGTCTCATTCCAATCTATGGAATTCTATTCATAGTCTTCCTAGGATGAGATCAATAACCAAGGCCCCTCAGAAACGTGCAATCACTGAAGAGGCGAAGGACAGAACAGTTTATATTTACGTTTTTCTTTTGATGTTCATGATATCTTTTATGACCTCTTAAACATCAGTCAGTTGCCTTGAAGAGATCTTGTGTCTACTCCAGAGCATATATAGGAAGTGTTGCTGTGAGAAAATATACCCTCACCTGATGGAATGAAGTCAAGGTGTCTCCTGCAATTGCTAGTCAGGGATTATTTGTTGGGGGTTTGTGTGAAATAGGAATGTACTAAGGTTCCCACAGAGAAGTGAGAATGATTCATGGGACTGTGATGCACTGATGAGGGGAAACTGAAGTGGGAACATTGTTTTGTGTGTTGTAATAATATATTTCTCCACCGAAACCTACACTGTAGATTATTCTCATAGGGTGCATGTTTAGAACATCTGATGCATCAGTGAAGAAGAATCATTCAGTGGAAGTAATCAATTTTTTTCTTTAGATTGAGAATTGTGTACCAAATGTAGTAGGGTATTTTCCTATTACTGGAAAACCGTGCAAGACCTTATAGATGGTATATCACATAGAGATTGGTACATGTTTCACATATATTTTATTGGCTTTCTGGCTACAGACAGCTTCAACTATTGTAGTATATTGCCATTTGAATCCCAGCATGCTGAAGCAGAGAGCAGCCAGAGGAATAAGATGGAATGATGTTGCAATCTAGGACCCTTGTATATTTCTATTTTATGTTCCTGATAAGCGTAGCAGGGAAAAAAATCCAGCTGTTTGTTAGACTCTTTGGAAAAGTGGTTGTTGTTTATTCCATGACCTCTGTTTTCTCTCAGAAAGGAAACCCAGTACTAGATATGGTACCAAGATGGAGGCTTAGTTCCCCTTGTAACACAGAAATTAGAAAGAGGAACATAGCAAATTGATTCAGCAGTACATAACTCAGCTGAAATAGGAAATGGATCAGAATTATCAGCAAAGATTGATTTTGCTATAAAGAAAGGTGAAAAACAAGGAAGCTTATTTCTCATATTCATCTCTAGATTTTACTCAGTGTTGTTTGGGTCCCTAACTCAGATAAGTTTTGTTTTTCTTCATTTAAATCCTTGTTCTAGTGTGGGCTTAGGGATGAAGGGTTCAATATGCAGGCATCCTTAGGAGAGAGGACAACGACAGCCCTCTCTGACCGTAGCAGCTTGGGGCCAGGTGAAAAGTGCCTGTCCCTGGTCGTTGCACTGGGCACAGCCGGGGGAGGGGTGCATGTCCCCTAGCTGGGGGACAGATAGACAAACAGACATACAGACAAACTCTCTGATATCTATAGCTGTCCCTTTCTCCATCCTTTACCCCTGCTGGCCCAGTGGGTTTATAGCTGGGTCCCCATCTCTGTCCCCTTGCTGCCCCCTGTGGTCATTCTGCAGGATAACTCCCTCCTACCAGATCCCTCTCTTTACATTTTATGAGAAACAATTGAACTCCATGCATATCCCATTATTCAGTCACTACTAAACCTTGACCTTGCTTTAAGTTATGATAAGAGGAAGCTGCATACCAAATTTGGTGGTCCTAGCTCTTACTGTTTAGGAGGAGTTCTTGAACAAATGGACTCACAGATGTACAGACAGATGTATATTCCTAAAATACATAAGAAGATGACAGCCATTCTGGCTGAAATAACACCATACAGCAGCTCATTTGGGACCTGATTCTGCAGAGATTTGATCACTCTTCATTCTCATTTAGTGGTGGTCAGGAGATCTGAGCCCTTCACATGGTCAGTTCCTTAGAAATAACTAGTTCTCATTTAGGTAATCCTGTGGTACTGGGAGGTTCCCCCCCCCCCCTTTGAGTTCTGTTCATATATATGTTGCTGTATTTTGAGGAGTGACTGCTTAACTTGAAGGAGGAATAATCCAGAAGAAATCCTAGAGAAATGAACAAAATGGGCAACAGAGTGAAATATACTAGGCTTGAATATCTACAAAATGTGAACAGCACAGCTGTTTTACAAAAATGAAGGTTAACTTTGCTGGCTGTATCTTTTAATCAGTTTTATAGCAGTGGTATAAACTTTTTGATGTGTATTGTTACAGCTTAATTTCCCATTAATGTATGCCATACTCCATTAAGCTTTAACAATGTACTTGAAAAATTTTACAGTGCTTCTGCAAAATATATTTACCAAAGATGCATTTCTTTGAAGGCTTTGTTCACTAAATAAAGGAAGGGAAAGCTATTTGCTGACTCTGGGCCCTTAGATTCAGTGGTGCTCTTGGATTCAGTCTTTTCAGGAATATGGCACCTAAAATTTTCTATATAGAAAAGTGCCTGTGTGTGCCCATGATGCTCTCCCTTTTATATAGTTTTGCCTTCGTTTTCAAGAGTCCTCATTGTTCTGCATTTTCTCTTCCTTCTTTGTCTTCCTTCTTCCTCTTTTCACATCTGTCTCTATAGATCTCCTCAACAGCAGCAGGCTTACCAGAACTATGACTCCCCCTTATGCTCCTGAATAGCATTGCTGGAAGTGATTTGAAAATGGCGAGAAGTGTTTTTTCTGAATCAGTTTCAAACTACTGCTTCTGCCAAAGAAAGAGTGCTATGGTTCACGAACCTGTCCTACCTATTCTGTTCCATATTAGAGCTTTTCTTCTGTTACTCACACTCAACTAATGGCTTACCATGATATAACTCCTACTTACTTACCTGTTTGACAAGGGGGAGAAAAGCAAAGCAAACAGGGAACAATATAGCATTTCCACGATTCAGTGCCCAGTTTAAAGCCCTTCAGGGAATAGTGGCAGTACATAGGAGAAGTAAACAAGAGTTTAGAAGGTTACAAGTGAGAAACAATACCAGACACTCATTTATCCTCCTTATCACAGCTAGTGATTGATGCAGGTGTTTAGATAAATCATTCTCTGTTTTCTATCACAATGAATCCATTAATAAACAGGCCTGAAAATGTAAATGCAAAAACATTACATAATACTCAGTTAAGGTTCCAACATCACTCTTAAATCTGCTTTGCATTTCACCATCCGTGTACAGCCTAGAAATGTCCTTCCCCACCATTGCCAGTGCTTGTATTTCCATTGCATATATTCATTAGACAATCCCAAGATGAGATGTGAAGGCATAGAGATTTCTGGTCCCTGTCTAGATGGTAGTTAGGAGTAGGAGGTCAGGTGTTACTCTAGGTATAACTTTTTTTTGTATGTGTTAAGATATGGATAGAAAAGAGATCTAGCTATAGGTTACCTACAATATGATTTGCTAAAGATATACTCTGTATTAATGTTTCCTCTATTTTTTTCCATCCATGTGCAGAATAATTGTATGTGTACCGAGGCATTTGTGAATGTTCACTAGTAGAAACAAAAAACCTAGCTGTCGGCATTCTGCTAATCAGCTGGGTGGCATTTGAATCTCTTGAGTAACCTCATAAGCGCCTGCTTATCAGGAACATGGCTCTGTACTATTGAGATTCTTATGATGAAGATTACCAGGGATATGTTGCATTCGTAGCAAATCATGAGAGAAATGTACACAAAGGAAGGAGATGGAGGAAGAAGGAGGAGAACCAACAGAAAGGCATTCTTTGATGGCCATAAGCATCTATAGATGCAGTGTGATCTCATGAGGATAAGCATGTGTTCCTGAATTGAAATTGCATGATAACAGGAGGAACTTCTGCCCTAGGATATGGCATTTGCTGCAGTATGCAAGATGCCCCTCTACACCCATTTTTGATTGGCCTATGCCTTATTGAAATTGGCATAGGTACCATCTGAGTGGTAGTAGTGTCAGGCTTGTAGATGAGCAAGAGTGCAGTCATTCCAGAACCCAGTGTGTGCATCAAGTTTAAGAGTTAAAGGCCTGGGCTCCCATCTAAGAATGCTGAAACAGCTTTTGTTCCTGAGGTTAAAGGAAATGTCACACCTACTCCAGCTCACAGCTAGAGTAACTTTGAAAATCAGACAGCATCTTTCATAGCTCTGGAAGGCAAAATTTTGGCTCTGGTGAATTAGTATTAAAGTTTCATGATAAGATGACAGAAATTATAATTAAATTTTCACCAGAACTTGATTGTACTGGAAGCATTTGCAGATGCCCACAAAACAGTTATGCAGTAGAGCTGTTTTCTGCTGAATTGCTTACCCATGTGCTTTGGTAGCCAAATCCACTGTAAAGGCCTGTGTATATAATATTTGCTTAATGGAACCCTAAATCACAAAGGAAGCTGGAGGAAAACTCACAAGAGACCATGTCTGAAGGCTTCTTAGAAATTAGTCTAGCCAGGAAATGGTAGTTCATAGGATAAAATAGAGAAGTCCTTCCTCAGGAAACTTAGCATGTAAATAAGCGCTTTAAGGACTGAAATGAAAATTCCGTGAGATATTGAAAGAAAACAAGAGGGGAAAAATACAAAGAGCTATACTAAAACTTTAAAAATTGTTTCTGCTTGGTATTTACATCAATATGCTCTGTACTTCTGATAGGTAATGCCATAATATATGACTGTAGATGGTAAATATTTATTATTTTTAATGATTGCCACTGTTGATTATTTTTATTTATTATCAAACCAGTATTCTGAAAATGATTCTTCAGAATGTTTAGATAAATCAAAACTTCCTTTGTTAAACATAGTGGGTGAAATCCTGGCCCTGTTGAAGTAAATGGCTAAATTTTCATCTACTTCTGTTGGACCATGATTTCACTTGTTCTAGCCATTACTTTTACATAAACTAACTTGCAGTTCTTAGCCACAGCTTTTGAGTACCATGTTAATTTTTGAATCATGGATTTTGTTTTATCTCTATGTAAACAGAACTGAGAGGACAATATCACTATACATTTTCATATCCTCTGAAAAAGTATGCAAAAGGTAATAAAAGCTACTTGAGCTTATTTATGCTTCCAAAATAAGCTTATATTTCCCAAATATCCAGCAGCAGCAGAGAGACCAGCTGTGGACAGGAACAGGGATAGTTCTTCTCACTGCCAAATAACACTGCTTTTCTTTTCTACTGTGTAAATTGTATCTACAAACTGATTTTATGAGAACCATTGTGAATACTCCACGATATTCCAAACATGATTGCCACAAACTGCTAAAACTAAAGCTGGCACATTTGAACTGGCATATAAAACTGGCATGTTTCTTTGTCACCCAGAATGCAGTTCTGCCATTCAGTCCTAGGGAATCACAATTCGTCCAGAAATTCTGTTGTTACAATCTCGTATTTAAACAGACTGATTAATTAAAGGTTGTACTGCAAGTCAACAGATGCCATGAATTCATACTTAAGGCTGATACTGAGACCTTAGCCCTGCTTGTCATGGCTGGGCAAAGCTAGAAAATTCTGGACACAAGTTAATTTGATGTAACTTGTTTTCTGCATTGCCTAAGCTCAGAAGTTGGAGATTATGGTGAAGAATGTAGACCTTATTTCAACTTGTATTTTTTACATTCTAAATAGGGTGCATAAAAATCGATTATTTAAAAAAGAATCAAATTTGACTTTATTTACCAAAAGTGAAACCTCTTTACAAAGCTGCTGCACCCCTCTGTAGCTCTCACTCAACCCTGGCTAATCTCTCTCCTCCTTAATGTTTCCTGTGCTTCCAAACTCCCAACAGCCAGTGCTCCCAGTTCTACTAATTACAAGCAGCATCTAAAACACCACAGTTTCTCAACAGACTAAGAAGTAACATGTGCAAAGAAAGACACAAGCAGAATAGGATTGTTTTTGTTCTGTGCTTATGTGGTGGGGGGGACCTTAGCTAAGGAAGGCAGAGGAGTTTTAAAGATAGAGAGACTATATATAGGATGGAGGCAGCATAGAAAGGAGGAGTGGAGTGGACTGGAAATTAAAAGGGGAAGATATTATTCAGCACACACAGAGCTTCTTATATTTCCCCATGATTTTGCCATAGATAAATTGTCATGACTTTTGCACCTAAGAGGGATCCTATTTGGGAATATTTTGAAGAAATTTGTTCTTTAGGTAAAAAAATGAAATGTGTCAAGTGTAGTAAGCAGTGCAAGAAGATGCAGACCAAGAATGAAACATAAGGAAAATTGCTTATTGGGAGAAAATGATGTAGATGAAGATGTGGATATGCCTAAGTGGATCAGCTGGTTAGAAACTTAAATAATTCACTTTGCAATGCATTATTTTTCTATGCTTTTTAGTATAACTGTGATTTGGCAAGTAAATTCCCAAGCTGTTTGTTGCTAGAAAAAAAGCTTAGCTTAGCTAATCCTTATGATTTTTTATTTAGTTAACTACTTTTAGAGTCCATCACTCAAGTATATAATACAGAAAGCTGCAGTAAGAGAAATATAGAATTGCCAGTTGCCACTGAGTGTCATTTTCTTATTTTACATTGCATAATGCATGCCCTTTATTTTGGAACATCAGGGCCACAGACCATAATGGTGATACGATAAGTTCTATTCTCTATTTTACTTCAGTATAACTCAGCTTTCCAAAGAATTGAAGGAAAGAGTTCTAGACATGTAATGATAAATTTCAATAATAATTCTTGGAATACAGCATATTCTTCTTTTCTTGTAATTAATGTAGTTAAAATGTGCATGCATACCATTTGAAGTACACAGAAGTGCATGCATACCATTTGAAGTACACAGAAGTACACATTTGCCATACTATTTTAGAATACCTTTGCTTACGAAGTATACCCATATAGTGTGCCTGGTGTATATCATCAGAGTGTTCCTACATTCCAGCATTGCACTCCTACAGGGTCTCTGCTTATTATCCCATAGTTTAGCACTTACCTGATTGTAATATGGATAGCTCTGTGTTACCATATAGAATGAGCCTAGCACATGGCTAATTATGAGTATAGAGTAATTACCTAGGAGATAAACTCACAGAAGAGTATGTAATCAGGTTGTTTGTTAAACCTTCGGAACCCTTCCAATCTGTTAAGTAATTCTATGTAATAATTTATTCTGACCTCCTGTACATTGCAAGCCACAGAACCTTACCACCTACTTCTGTAATAGGCCCATAACCTTTGCCCAAGTTACTGAAGTCCTCAATTCAACTCTCCCTCTCTCTCCCCTCGCCCTCCTGGGTTTCCGTAAATCTGACCTAGGGGAAAATTCCTTTCTGACCCCAGGAATATCAGTTTGACCCTCAGTATAAGAATGTAGGAATAACCATTGAGTGAAACCAGTGGCCCTTCTAACTCAGTATCCTAACCTTCAGTATTTCAGAGGGGTAGCTGTGTTAGTCTCTAAGGTGCTGCAAGACTATTCGTTGTTTGTCAGGTTTTTCCAGTTGCAGACTAAGAAAAAGGGAGATGGTACAGTAAACTTCCGATAATCCGGCACCTTTAGGACCCAGGGGGTGCCGGATTATCAGATATGCCGAACTATCGGAAGGGGGGCTATGAGAGGTCTGGGGCGGGGTGGTGGGGATGCCACCCCAGACCCCTCATAGCCTGCCCTTCCGATAGTCTGTCTCTGCCCCAGGTGTCCCCGATTTAGCCTCTGCTGGTCAGTTTCAGCAGCGGCTGAATTGGGATGCCTGTGGCAGAGCATCTGGGATGCTGCTGGGTTGGTCCAGTAGCGCCGCCCCTCGGCGCTGCAAGACCAACCGGGCAGCACCCCAGCTGCTCTTGGGGATGCCTGGGAAAGAGCAGCTGGGGGGGGGGCCGGGTGGGGCCCCTGCCGCCCGGGGGGGGAACACCTAAAATACTATGACGAATGCAGCTCCCTACAATCTTTTTCCCCAGTATAAGATCTCTGAATAAGCAGGGCTATACCAGGAAAGTTCTTCTAGTATAAACTAGGTCTAAGTTTTAGTGACGTGTCTACAGCAGAAAGAAACTAACTAGTTCTAACAAGTATAAAGCCTTTCAATTCACCTTTAAGTTTAAAATATCCTGGGTTATTTGTGGAGTAGTCTTTGCAATGAAACACAGATATTGTTGACATTATCATGCTCTTGGTATGTTTGTTAAACAATGTTTTTAAAGCCAGTGAAAAAATGCTAACAAGGAAAAACCAGTTACAGCCATGGAAAAAAGGATTTTACTAGCTGATGACTTCCCACCACATATCTGGCTTTAGAAAATTTAACATCTTTCTGATAGTACTGGAACCTGGAAGTGCTCCAGCCAGCCGGACAATTGGAGCTGCTCTGTCCCCGACTTCTCCAAGTCCGCCACTGGTCAGTTTCAGCAGCGGTGGACTTGGGGAAGCCGGGGGCAGAGCAGCTGAGGAGGTGCTGCCGGGTTGGTCCCATAGTGCCACCCCTTGGCGCTGTGGGACCAACCCGGCAGCACCCCAGCTGATCTGCTCCAAGCATCCCCAAGAGGTTTAGGGACACCCAGAGCATGTGGTTGCATGCCAGACCACCTTGGTTAATAGCAATTGATGGCACAGTTGTATCAATATGGATATGTTTTGCATGTGGATGCTATCCACAATGGGGCACCAGGGGAAAAATTCTCTGCAATAACCCGGAGACCTCCCCCTTTGATTTACTATCTCCAGCCGTTGGAGTTATCTGCTAATAGAAGTTGTGGGTGGGGCTATAAGTAATTTTAAGCAATTTCAGCATACAATCCCCTCCATAAATTTATCACTCTGTTTCAATGACATGGATCAGAAAAAAACAGAATCCTTTTGTATAAAGACATTCTGTTTTATAACCTGTAACTGGCAAATGTGTTCAACTACTGCCTTGAATTTTCTTGCACTAATATGCAGAATCCCTGATCGCCCCTTAGGATGGGTTTTATTTGCACTTGCCAAACTCGGACCAAACGAAATAAGTAATTCCAGGGTAGGAATCAAGGCTCAGGCCAGATTGAAATAGGGAAAGCGGACAATCCCATATCGTGGCATGACATAGGGCATAACTCTAGTAGAGTCTCCTTACGACAATAGCAGATTGACAGGAAACATACATGGAGACGCAACTGACATGAAGGCTACATCTAGACTACATCCCTTTTTCGGAAAAGGGATGTAAATTAGACGTATCGCAATTGCTAATGAAGCGGGGATTTAAATCTCCCGTGCTTCATTAGCATAAAAATGGCTGCCGCTTTTTTCGGCACGGAGCTTTGTCGGAGGAAAGCGCCAGTCTAGACGCTGATCTTTCGAAAAATAAAGCCTTTTCTGAAAGATCCCTTATCCCTCTTGAAATAAGGGATAAGGGATCTTTTGGAAAAGGCTTTATTTTTCGAAAGATCAGCGTCTAGACTGGCGCTTTCCTCCGACAAAGCTCCGTGCCGAAAAAAGCGGCAGCCATTTTTATGCTAATGAAGCACGGGAGATTTAAATCCCCGCTTCATTAGCAATTGCGATACGTCTAATTTACATCCCTTTTCCGAAAAAGGGATGTATTCTAGACGTAGCCAAATGGTTTAGCAAATAGAAAATGGATTAGTCTGTTGTAATCTAACATAGATGCACCAAAGTTTGGAGTGTGTGTAGTAGAGGTGATCTAGTGGGTCTGTAGTTAAGATTGGATTGAAACATTCCCCTGAGAATACAGTAGAACCTCAAAATTACAAACCCCTTTGGAATGGAGGTTGTTCATAACTCTGAAGTGTTTGTAACTCTAACTAAAACGTTATGGTTCTTCTTTCCAAAGTGTATAACTAAACACTGACTTAATACAGCTTAGAAATTATATTATGTTGAATAAAAATGCTGCTTTTAGCCATCTTAAATGAAACAGGCACAGAAACCATTTCCTTTCTCTCTTGTCAGATCTTTGTCTAAAATTTTCCCTTTTTTTAGTAGTTTACATTTAACACAGTACTGTGTTGTATTTGCTCTTGTTTTGGTCTTTGTTGCTGCCTGATAGCATTGATCTGATTTCAAATTAGGTGTCTGGCTGACCGGTCTTTTTGTAAATCTGAGGGTCTCCTAATACATACAAGAATGATCAAAATAGACGGAAGTTTCTTTTAAGTTTGAAATTCGGTAAACATTTCAAAAGGAAAACATTTCTAACAGTTTGAAAAATTTCCTCCCTGCCCCCACTTTTTTTTGTTTTGACCATGACTATATGTTTTGCTCTTTAGTTGCAATTGTAGTAACTATGGGGGAAGTTTCATCACCATCTCTTTGATTTTACAGCTTCTTCTCATGTTCATATTCCTGTAGAAGATGATGCTGTGCATGTAATTAAATTGGTAATGTTCGTATTTCACTTCTGAATTATTTAAAGTGCTAATATTTTTAGCATTATCTATTTATTCTTATTTTGAGCATTGAGTTTCATTGCATGTTTTTTGTGTGTGCCTTGCTTCCATCATAGCATAATTTGTCTGCTGGAGGAATACTTTGAGATTCCTTAAAGTTTGCTTACATTGCTAATCATGGACATTACAATGGGGGAAAAAAATAAGACTGCATATTTAAGAATATACAGTGAAGTAAAATGTATTAATTTAATTTCCTAAATAATACTTGTGTTAGTCTGTATTACAGGTTTTCTTTTGGGCATTTGCAGTGAACAGCTTGTTATTGTTTTTTTACATAAACTATATCCTATATATTGTTTGAAATAATTTTTCAGATGTCATAGTATATCTTTTTGTATGTGGATTTTAACCCGATTGGACTTCCAATCGACTATTTAGTAACTCTACGCTCCCCTCCCTACTCACTTTATCACAGCAAATTTATTTGGTCCTCTTTAGGAATATCTTGAAAATGGACCTTTGTTTTCTGAACTGAAGTTTTACCAGAGAGCTGCAAAACAAGAGCACAGTAAGTAATATCAGCAAAACAAAAATAAATAATATGGTACTTTTTTCATTTAGAGTAATTGATTTCTTGAAGCTTTTATATGAAGCCCACTGAGACTGATTCTGGTCTAGTTTACACTAGATTTATATCACTGTAATGCCATTGACTTAAATAGTGCTCATCTTGGTTCTCACTGGTGTAAGTGAAAATGGAATCAGGACATAGGTAGGTAGGTTGACAAATTATGTCCTTTGATGTGCACAGACATCTGAGGGAAAACTACCCTCTCTCCATAATCCATATTTATAGTATAAGCAGAGGTGTTGCAAAGGCTACGGGCTAGTACTGCCTATAACTGTTCTAAGAATAAAGTTACTTATATTGCTTAAGTGTTTACAAGATTTAGTAGTAATTTAGGCACTGAACCTGCAAACTCTTTACTCATAGGAGCAATCCCAGTGACTTCAAGTGAGTAAAATTGAACATGCACTTAAATGTTCTGCTTGATTGAGGCCTAATTGCATACTCCGTTGATCTACTGTTTATCCAAGAAGATAAATTTTAAAAGTAAAGTTTTTAAATAAACTAGTTTTTCTCAGCCACTGATTGGATTTCTTTTTTTAGTATTATGACTCAGAGATATATATTGAAGGAACACAGAGCTTTTCTTTTACAAAAGATTAATTGATGAATTTTTTAATTGGGCTGTTATATAAAAATAGTAACGTGTGTGTTTTCATTTTAACAACAAAGATTCTAATAGTTAAATTACTAGGGTTAAACTGTGGATTCTCAAACTACCTTAAATTTTCTTTTATGTATTATTATTTTGACAGTCAAAAAGTGGATGACGCTCAGACAAATAAGATTTTTAAGTATTCCAGTGTTCTGGGGATCAGGCTTGGCTGAATACAATGGAAAAAGGTAATAGCAAGGTCAATTTAGTCAACGTTGTTGATCACATAGTTGCCTGAAGATCTGTGTTCAATGAAATGAAGGATATTTTGAGCTTGTTGATGTAAAGCCATCTGTATCCCATTCCTCACAAGGATTCCTTACTTGTGTATTTTCTAATAGTTATAGATTCATGGTCATGGAGAGATTAGGGACAGATCTGCAAATAATCTTGGACAGGCATGGACACCGGTTTAAAAAAGAAACAGTTCTGCAACTTGGGGCCCGAATGGTAAGTGTAGAGGAGAAGGAAATGGTCCTGTTTTTAGTGTATTGAACTCTCCTAATGTATCTGTTCCTTGAAATGCTGAAATCTATTTAGGTCCCAACTCAGTGTGAAGCAAAGGCACTTAACTATCAGCCTAAATCAGAGTCTTAATTTTCCTATTAAAATTAAATTATATGAATAGGGACAGAAACTAGACCGGGATGGGCAATAATTTTTTGAGGGGGCACTCCATGATTTTGATAAGTGGGCAAGGGCTGCACTTTTCTATGGAGGGGATGGAAATTGGGTACAGAAGTGAGGTTGTGATAGGAGTTTGGGATGCAGGAGAGCGTGTGGGGTCTGCTTGGGAGTTTGGATGAAGGAGGTGGTTGTGACCTGAGGCACAAGATTGGGGTGCAGGAGATGCTGGGGTGCCAGAGGTAGGCTCTAGCCAGGAAGCTCTTAAGTAGGCAGTTCCTGGTCAGTAGCCCAGCAGGATCCCGAGGAAGGCTCTCTGCCTGTCACAGTTCTAGATTGCTCAAAATGGCTGGGTACTCCCTCCATGTGCCTCTCCGTGCCATGCGCTGGGGAGGGCAGACTTCATGAGCTGTCTCTGACCCCTGGCCAATCATTGCAGCTTCTGTTGGTTGGTTCCATCTCCCCTTCCTGCCCCTTGGTGTGCGGCGCCTAGAGGGAGCAGACAGCTGTTTTGAGGAGTGTGGAGCTGCAGCAGGCAGAGAGCCTGCCTAGGCTCCCAGCCAGGCGGACCACAGGTCATATAAAAAGCATATTAGGCTGGATCTGGCCCGTGGGCCATCTCTTCCATGCTCCTGAACTAGATCCTCTGTACAGAAGAGTATGTCTACACTGCAAGCTTCTTTGGAAATAAGCTATTCAGAAATAGTTATTACAGAATAGCTAATTTCGAAATAGCACATCTACATTGCAGGGAAACCTCAAAATTAGTCCGAGGCAGGCTTCCTTAATATAGAGGTACTATCTCAATTCAGAGCCCCAGTAGCACTGGGGGGAAATAACTTAGAATGGCCCTGTGAGGGGCTATTTCAAAATAACAGCAGTAAAGCTTCTACACACACCTTATTTTGAAATAGCTATTTAGGAAAAGGCGTTATTCCTCGTAGAATGAGGTTTACAGATTTAATCTCGGAATAAACTGTTTGTTACTTCAAAATTATTTCAAAATAATGGAATAGCTGTGTCGATGCTTGCATTGTTATTTTGAATTAACGCTAGTTACCTCAAAATAACGGTGCAGTGTAGATGCACCCTAGATGTCCAGGGGCCTGAGCCCATTGATGTAAATAGAAAAACTGTTGACTTCAGTGGGCTTTCGATCAGACTCACTAACAGAACATAAAACAAAATGTTCAAATGTAGACAAACAAATTAAGTGGCCTTATTTTCAGAGATTTTGAAGGTGCCTCATATTAGTCGTGTACATTTGACAATTTTGACCTTTCCGCACTGCCATCTTTGTTATGCTGAAGACCGTTTAGTCTAATTTGACAACTTCATCATTGTTCAGGCCACAATAAACCTATAGGATTGTACATATAGGATCCTCATTTTCAAATTCTTTTAAGGTAGCAGAGTACAAAATGTGTTGTTTGGGAATATCATTTGATTTGAGAGAGAATAGTGTACCCTTGCTATAACAAACCCCTGGGAATCCAAGCCATTTGTATAGTATAGGTGCTCTCAGTCCCTCCCCTTCCCAACCACAGGCGGGTGTGTAAGCAGTACCCAGGGAACACGTTTGGTATAGCCCAGGGTCACTATTGCAAAAGGTATTCTTGTGTGGGCCTTTTGTATCCATAAATTAATGCATACTGCCCCTTTACTATCTTGACTGTATTCTGTCACTAATCCCTTTTCACTAATGGACTGGTGGGTTTAGCATTCCAAAATTTGGGGTGTCTCTCAAACAGCCCTTTTTTTCTTTGTGTAAATCAGTCCACTGAAAACATGTTTCTCTTCTAATAAAATATGAAAATACCCCTCCTAAGGGGTACAGGGTGAGTAATACAGTTTGAAACGCTCTAAACTGGAACTCTGATCCTGTAACATCCATGGTCTGGCACGGATTTTGCAGGACCAGAGAGTCCTGGGGCAGGGCCAGCCGCAGCAGCTGTGGAGATGGCAGAGCAATGAGCTGCCCGCCATCAAGCTGATGGCGGGGCTGGCCCAGGGTCTAGGAACTGTGATGGTGGTGACTCAGTGGGGCAGGGAGCTGTGGCAGCGGTAGCGGTTGCCTGGCACTGCCCAGAGCCCTGGTGTGCGGCTGCCTGGCTCCGGCATATGGCTGCCTGGCGGGTCCTGGACCCCTGGTGTGCAGCTTTCAGGTGGGGCTGGGAGCTACAGCATCAGTGGATGCTCAGGTGGGTTGGCAGGGCATCAGGGCAGGCAAGAGGTGGGTAGCTGGGTTAGCGGGTCTGTTGGCAGGGGGGCTAGAAATGACCTCCCCGCTCCGGTAAAATCCCTCATCCAGGACTGGTAAGGTCATGAGGTGCTGGATCAGGGAGGTCCTGCCTGTAATTAGTCATGGGCCTATTAACAATCTTAGAGTATGTCTAGACTACATGCCTTTGTCGCCAGAGGCATGTAAATTAGACTACCCAACATAGTCAATGAAGCCAGGATCTAAATATCCCTGGCTTCATTAAAATAAAAATGGCCACCGAGCTGTGCCGGCTCAGCTGATCGTCGGCACAGCACAGCAGTCAAGACGCGGATCAGTCGACAGGGAACACCTTTGTCAACAGCTCCTGTAAACCTCGTTTCACGAAGCATAAGGGAGCGGTCAACAAAGGTTTCCCTTGTCGACCAATCCGCTGTGTTGACTTGCACTTGAGCTGGTACAGCGCGGCGGCCATTTTTATTTTAATGAAGCTGGGGATATTTAAATCCCGGCTTCATTGACTATGTCGGGTAGACTAATTTACATGCCTCTGGCGACAGAGGCATGTAATCTAGACATACCCTTATGGTCCAATATCTTGTGAACTCTCAGAATAAGATATATTATCTCTTTGCAGATAGGAATTCCCCCAGCCCTTCCAGTATTATATTTGTTTCATTATTAGATCATAAGAGAAAAGACCCGTAAATCACATTTAAAGAGATGATAGAATTTTCAAACATGTATAAGGTAGATATATAGGGATAAAATGTGGCCCACCTGGCACACCCTTAAATCTGTACCAGCTGCTTGCATTATAGGAGTGGACAGAATGGGCAGGAAATAGCTGGAGTCTTGGCTTTGCTTTATGCTGCCTTGCGTTCTAACCCATTTTATGGTAGTTGAGGCTCATTGAGTAAGTGATAGCGAGAATAATAATAATTAAACATTCTCTTTCGGCCTTCTTTCCTAGTTGGATGCCTTGGAATATATGCACGAAAATGAGTATGTCCATGGTGACATTAAAGCAGCAAATCTACTTCTGGGCTACACAAATCCACATGAGGTAAACACAGAATTTGTTACACCTATTGTTACTGTTGCTATAACACTTTCACTTTTGGCATTCTTTCTGTTCTATCTACTTTTTGCATTGTGTCCATATATTAAAGGAAGAGAATTTATAGTATGGACCCCACCTTTTCAAGTGTGTGTCTTTGGGCTAGATCTTCAGTTCTCTTCAGCTTATGCTCAGTGCACTTAAGGAAAGAAGCAAGGATAGGCATTGCTAAATCGCCTTTCAGGTACCCTGATCGTGTAGCTCAAAGGGTGAAAATGGCCCATAGAGTAATTTTGAGGAGCCTAATGGCTCATCTGTGCTATGCCACCTGGTGCAAAGGAACCTTACAAGGGTCAAAGATTTGGACCACTGTATTCAATTTCTGAAGATATTCCTGGCTTTCCGGTAATACTATAATCACGATTGTGTGGCTTTTATTTTTCTGTCCTGTTCATGTTACCACTAATTTAGCTAATTTAGCATGTTCCGGTCCAGCAACAACCATGGCCTGGATGTTCACTTCTCATGGGTTTCCCATGGTTCCATAATGTTTGTTTATAGCTACCAGTCCTGGCTTTCAGTGTTCTGTGCTGTTAGAAATATGGATATGATAGTATATATGTTTAAACAGTTAACCGATGAGCCTGGCTCATCGTTTAACCTTCACGGTTACACTACAGAGGAAGTAGTGCATGGGCGGGGGGACAGGCGGGAGCTGGTGCTCATGGAAAGACAACTATTAAGTGAAAACCCATTTTCAAGAAACATTGAAATTTTTAAAATTGTTTTCATTTCATAGGGTACGTCTAAACTACATGGCTCCGTCGACAGAGCCATGTAGATTTGTTTGTTTGGCAAAGGGAAATGAAGCCACGATTTAAATAATCGCGGCTTCATTTAAATTTAAATGGCTGCCGCACTGAGCTGACAAACAGCTGATCAGCTGTTTTTCAGCTTAGCGCGCTAGTCTGGACGCTCCCCTGCCGACATGAAAGCCCTTTATCGACCTCCCCAGTAAGCCTCATCCTACGAGGAATAAAGGGGAGGTCGATAAAGGGCTTTCAGGTCGGCGCGGGAGCGTCCAGACTAGCGTGCTGAGCCAACAAACAGCTGATCAGCTGTTTGTTGGCTCAGCGTGGCAGCCATTTAAATTTAAATGAAGCCGTGATTATTTAAATCGCGGCTTCATTTCCCTTTGCTGATCAGCCTAATCTACATGGCTCCATCGATGGGGCCATGTAGTTTAGACACACCCATAGTGTTTGAAATGGGTTAATTTTTGTTTTTCATATTTTTTTATTTTTAAACAAAAATGATAGCCATTTTGATCGTGTCTTGTATAACAAAATTGGAAAACTTACCAAAAGAGTAAGGGAATTTTTTTTTGTCAACATTGACTGTTTTTGACAAACTTTCATTTTTGAATAAAGGCCATTTGTATGTGAACTTTTTCCCCTGAAAAATATTCAACCAGCTCTCATGGACAATTTGATTTTCTTCCAACTTCTAAGACATTGTCTTCTGTGACAGATGTTGCCACAGGGTTATTTCACTACATTTGGAGATTTTTGCCATTGAACAACGCAAAAGCCACTTCAAAAGCTTCTTATTTCCCAGTTCCCTTTCTGTATTTCAGCATTCAGAAGTATTTGGCTCATATGTTTAGTTTTTCAGCTTTTTTTAAATATATGTCTTAAAAGTTATCATGGATAATTGAAACAACTTCTTGTAGACTCCTGTAATAGTTCATTGTCGGTTTATAGTATTTATCAGACTAATGAATCTAATAATTTGGTGAAATAATTTACACCAGACAGTTTTAGAGAAACAATTTAACTGCTACCTAAGCTTATTAACACAACACAGATTGGTTTTCATCTTAGCTTTCCATGTTTTATTAGGATAATGCTAGGATGCTTTGATTTTATTTGTGTTGAGGACACTTAGTGTTGTTGAGTCACTTCAGTGATTACAAAGATTTTGAATCGCTTAGACTTTGATTAGTTATCTTAACCAGACTGAGGTTTGGTTTGTGATTCCATGCCTCATGCTGTTTGGTATTAATCCTTTTCTTTCACGAATACTAAATTCACTCTAATTCAAAATAAGATGACTGGGTCAATGGACAGAAGCTTGAATGAAAGTTTAGTTTAATTTAATATGTACCAACAAAAACAGAATTTTAGCTATTTAACTTAGGGTACGTCTAGACTACTGTGTTTTGTCGACGGAAGTTTTGTCGACAGATACTGTCGACAAAACTTCCGTCGACAATTTGCGTCCAGACACATGGAGTTCTGTCGACAAAGCAAGCCGCTTTGTCGACAGAACTCCGTAGTCTGGACGCAGTGTTACAGGCAATAACACCTTCTGTCGACAGAGTTCTGTCGACAGAAAGTGTTATGCCTCGTAAAATGAGGTATACCAGCGTCGACAAAACCGCGGAGTTCTGTCGACGTTATGTCAACAGAACTCCGCGGTAGTGTAGACGCTGGTATTGTTTTGTCGACAAAAGTCCACTTTTGTCGACAAAACTAGGTAGTCGAGACACACCCTTAGAGTGAATGTTTGTTGCTGACAGATCTAGTTGCATTAAATGACTTTTTTCTCATATAGAAGCACGTACATTTTAAGTTACCTATAGAAAATATTTTAACTTCTGTTTTACAAATGTAAGGGAGAAAGGGACTTAAAATGCTTGCCTGTACTTGAGAGATGTGGAACAGGGATCACATTTTACAATAAAACTCCAATTGTCCAGCATCCAGTGGTCCGGCACTCCTGATAGTCCGGCACCAACTGGAACCCGGAAGTGCTCCGGCCAGCCGGACAATTGGAGCTGCTCTGCCCCTGGCCCAGCAGCACCCCAGCTGCTCTGCCCCCAGCTTCCCCAAGTTAGCCTCTGCTGAAACTGACCAGCGGCTGACTTGGGGAAGCCGGGGGCAGAGCAGCTGGGGTGCTGCTGCATTGGTCCCGTAGTGCCGCCCTCTCCCACACTGCGCAGTTCCCCGTCGACACTCTCCCCCCCACCTCCAGACTCCTCATAGCCCCCCTTCCGGTACTCCGGCATATCTGGGTCCTAAAGGTGCCGGATTATCGGAAGTTTTCTGTATTTGTAAATTCCCAAGCAAATGGAGAGGCTTGGAGTGCTTGTAATAAAGAAGGAGTTAAAAAGAATCAAATTTATTAGATGGGTGGGTTGATTTAAATTAAGGCAATTTAAATAATTTATTTTAAATCACCTAAAAAAATCATAGTTTTAAATCAAATTACCAAGAAAACTAATGCTGGTTGTACTTAGAGCGTACTTATTTTTGCATAAGCTCCATTGAACTTACTGGCATGTCTGTTCTTTGAGAAAACAAGAATAGAACAGGGTTCCCTTGGAAAGGCTGAGTTCCCACGTTCTGTGTGGCATTTTCCCAGAACCCGGGGTCAGATTAGGATGTACCCAGCTGATCCGAGGCTCCATGTGGCGCTGGTGCTTTGAAACTCCGTGGCAGCATTCCAAAGGGTCAGCACTGCACAGAGCTGATCCCGGGCTCCATGCGGTGCTGACACTTAAAGGGTACGGGCTCCATGTGGCACTGCCGCTTTGAAGTACCCCCTGTTCTAGAGGCAGCAAGGGAGGGGTGGGAATCAACTAGTCCTTAACGTCCTTTGTGTGTGTGTGTGTGTGTGTGTGTGTGTGTGTGTGTGTGTGTGTGTGTGTGAAAATACTAAAACAAGGGATAATTAACAAGGTGCATGATCCTGCACACATGCACCCTGAAAACCACCCAGCTTGGCACCCAGTTTCACTCCCACCCAGCCTTAATCCCATTGTTTCTGCATCCATGAGCTCTCCTACCCCTGCACCCCCATCATGTGCACCCTTTACCACTTTGCCTAGGGAGGCTGTGGAGTCTTCATTGCTGGAGATATTTAAGAGCAGGTTAGACAGACAGCTGTCAGGGATGATCTAGACAGTGCTTGGTCCTGCCATGAAGGCAGAGGACTGGACTTGATGGCTTCTTGATGTCCCTTCCAGTTCTATGATTCTAACCCTGCATTGTGCTTCCTTTGCACCTTACTTCTGCACAGTGTCCCCTTCATTCTAACCCCTGCACTTTCCTCCCAGCCTAAGCTCCCTGTAAGCTGGGCAGCTGCATGACCCCACAGCTGTTTTCTGAGCTCCATTAAGAAGTTGGAAATTCCCACACAGGAGGGAGATCAGCTGTGTGGTGGTAGGTGGGGCATTGTCTCACTAAACAAGCAGCCAGATGGAGCTTCTCATGTTTCAAATAGAGCAGCTCCCAGAACAGGTAAACAGTGGAGACAATAAGTGGCTGGAGGAGTGGCGGGGAGAGGGGGAGAGAGCAAAGAAGGGAGTGATTGGTTGAGGTGGAGTCAGAGGGGAGGGAAATTTGGAGAGTCCTGTCTGCACCAGGAGAAAGAGGCAGGAAGTCTGCACTCTCAAGCCTCCTGGAAAGGGGGAAATAAGGGGCTGACTGCATGGGGTTGGTGGAGGAAAGAGGAGGTGGGTGGGTGCTAGCATTGGGGTGAGATGGAGGACGGGGTTGGGGAGTTTGTGCTGTGAGGTGGGAAGGTGTGGGTAATTTGTTTGTGCTTTATCTGAGATTTAGGACAGGATAGACTGATGGTGCCTGCTAGTCTGAGAAGCAGGATTTTATCCCAGGCCCTACCTAGGCTGGGGGGAGCAGATTGCACAGGGAGAGGTGAGGGAGAGGAAGTGGGTGGGTGCCGTCATCTGTGCAGTGAGTGGATGGTGGGGGAAGGAGGAGCCTGATTCACTTGCTGCAGTCTTCTCTGTCTGGAGGGTTGGAGGGAGGTGGGTGGTGGGAAAGCAGGCTGCATGGAGTGTGTGTGTGTGCTAGGATATTTGCATGATTACATTTCAAACAAAGTTCACATAGGTGTTAATGGCTTAAGGTCAGAAAGAAAAAGATCCTTTTAACAGATTTTTTTGGAGGGTTGCAGATATATACAACTCTGATCTTAATGAT